TTTTACCCTACTTTTATTTTATTTTCTATTTTTTAGCAGTGACATCTGGTACTACTACAATTGGTAAGGGTATGCTTTATATTTAGATTAAAATACAAATATCAACCTGTTTGGTTTTTATTTTATTCTACTTTTTTTTTTTCTCTTTTTCTTTAGCCTCACCATCTGATACTACTACAACTGGTTGGGTTATGCTTTATATTTTTATAAAAATGCAAATATTAAGATGTTCAGTTTTTACTTTATCTAACTTTTATTTTATTTTCCCTTTCTTTAGCATTGACATCTGGTAGTACTACTACAATTGGTAGGGTTATGCTTGATATTTTTATTAAAGTACAAAAATTAACATGCTCAGTTTTTATTTATCCTACTCTTATTTTACCCTACTTTCATTTTAATTTTTATTTCTTTAGCGCTGATATCTGGTACTACTACAATTGGTAAGGTTATGCTTTATTTTTTAATTGAAATACAAATATCGACATGTTCAGTTTTTATTTTATTTTTTCCATTTTTTTAGCATCGTCATCTGGTACTACTACAACTGGTAGGATTATGTTTTATATTTTTATGCATTTTTTTTCAAATTGCAATTTTATTCAAAATACAAATATGAACATGTTTGGTTTTTATTTTATTTTTTCCATTTCTTTAGCATCGTCATCTGGTACTACTACAGTTGGTAGGATTATGTTTTATATTTTTATGCGTTTTTTTTCAAATCGCAATTTTATTCAAAACACAAATACCAACATGTTCAGTTTTTACTTTATTCTACTTTTTTTTTCCTTCTATTTCTTTAGCATTGTCTGGCACTGCTGCAACCGGTAGAGTTATGCTTTTATCTTATTATTATTTTAAATGCAAATATCTATTTTTTTTATTATATTATTTTTTATTTCTTTAGATCTAAATTGGAGCAGCTACAGGCTTTATCGCTCCCAGCACCCAGGACCTCTTTCTGAGAGGTCCTTTAACAAATGGTGCTTTAATAATGGTATGGATGAGCCCTCATTTAAATGGAGAGCTCATCCATACAGGGGTGCTGGGAGGCACCAAGGAAAAAACAGCAACAAAAAAATTTTAAATATCTTTAATCAGTGAAGATATTTACAATTTTTTTGTTGCTGTTTTTTCCTTGGTGTTTTATTCTCAATGAAATAAATTTATAATTTTAATTTTGTTTGTTTTTATTTTTTTAGTATTTGTTTAGATTATTAATTTTTGACTAGATATTTAATTTTTGGTTCACAATATAACATGACTGTAATTGTCCCCAATATATATCATATCAGTTAAATCAGAAAAATGTACTATAGTAGATAATTAACTGTAAAAAAAAACCACATGTAAATATCTAATATTTTAAAGTTTATAATTTGTTGATTTTTACCAGATTTTATTTCTTTTCATTGTTTCGAATTCAATAGTTTAGTGTTTATAACTGCTTTTAACTTATGTTAAGCTTTAATAAATTTAATCTTCTAATTTTTATCTAATATAGATATTTTAATATGTAAAATAGATAGTCTTAATAATAAAGAAAAAAAAAAAGTAAGTAATAAGAAAAAAGAAAAACAGATAAATGATCTTTTATATATTGAATTTGAATTTTGTCATGTTGCTTATTATATTATTAACATTTCAATGATGCTGTTAGATTTTTGTTTATTTCTTTAGAATTTAGAAAATTAAATTAAACTACAACTTTTGAACAGTCATTTCATTGTTTGTGAAGGTTTAATTATTTTAATATTTTTTAAACAATTTTTTTATAGAAATAATTTGAAGTTTACAAAAAGGGTTTACAAATACTTTATTTTTTAATTTTTTTTTCTATTTTTTGTTTAAGCAGCACTTTTATTATTCAAATTTATTATTCAAATTTTATTATTCATTATTTTTTAATCCTATTCGTTATTTTTTTATTTAGATTATTATTATGAGTTAATTTTTTGTTTAAACATCTCTTACCAGATATATTTATGAAATTTTTTTTATAAAAAATGCACAAGATTGTTGTATAATTTAGTTTATTTTAAATAAAAATTTCCTGTCATTTTTTAAAAATAATTTGTATGTGCAATTTAGAGTAGTAAAAAAAAAAAAGATCACAATCTTCTGGATTAATTCAAGTTTTTTTGTTACTATTATCAATTAAAAGTAAAATTTAAATGGATGAAAATGATGAAAATGTTAATAGGCAAGTTGAAAATAATCGTCGCAGAAATGCCAGAAATAGGCTGAGGCGAGATGAAATTAATAATCAACAGAATGCTAGATATGCTGCTCGGCAAGCCGCAAATAATTTGAATCAAAATGAGGACAATGTCATTAGGCAAGTTGAAAATAATCGTCGCAGAAATGCCAGAAATAGGCTGAGGCGAGATGAAATTAATCATCTTCAAAATATTAGATATGCTGCTCGGCAAGCTGCTAATAATTTGAATCAAAATGAGGACAATGTCATTAGGCAAGTTGATAATAATCGTCGCAGAAATGCAAGAAATAGGCTGAGGCGAGATGAAATTAATAATCAACAGAATGCTAGATATGCTGGTAGACATGAAAGAATGCATTGTATAGCAAGAAGTAATACTATTCCAGATTATAATTATTTAGGAGAAATGAATCATATTTGTCAGCATTGTGGTGCTAAGAAATTTCCTGATGAAACACATTTTTTATGTTGCCATAATGGAAAGGTAGTTTTGTCTCAACTTTCACCATTTCCGCAAGATTTACAAGATTTATTTACAGGAAGTTATGTAGATCGAAATGCCAATGTGAATTTTCTAAAATATATTCGAAATTATAATGCCTGTCTTTCTTTTGCTTCATTTACTGCTAATGTAGTTCAACCCATGAATCATGGGCCGCCATGTTTTAGAATATGTGGTCAGGTTTTTCATCGTGTTGGTAATCTTAGGCCAGATCAAGATATTCCTCCAACATATTGTCAACTATACATTTATGATCCACTTGCAGCAATAAATTTTAGAATGCGACAACCTGGTAATGATCTTTGCTTAAATGATTTAATGTTTCGGTTGCAAACTATTATTAGTGAGGAGAACCCATTTGCTCTCGCATTTAAAAACATGGCTGAAGTGGAAGATGAAGAAATTCGCCAAGCAGCTATAGAAGGTCGCTCAGTCTCAGTTGTAAAAATGTCTTTACTTGAAGGGCAAGATAGACGTCGCTATAATCTCCCTTCACATAATGAAGTTGCAGTTGTATTTGTTGGTGAAGATGGTGCTCCTCCTGCTTCCAGAGAAGTTGTTATTTACCCGAGAGGTCATCCTCTTAAAACTATATCAAGTATGACTGCCAACTTAGATCCTATGGTTTATCCTCTATTTTTCCCAAGGGGTGATGCTGGTTGGCATAATCAATTGGTTCACAACCCTGAACGTGCTACATTGGTTAGAAATCATGTTACATTATCTCAGTATTACAATTATAGACTTTCGGTTAGACAAATTTTTTCTTCAATCTTTTATGGCAAGAAACTATTTCAGCAATATGCTGTTGATGCATATGTCAAAATTGAAGGCCAGCGCCTTGCTTTTATCAGAAATAACCAAAACAAACTTAGAAGCGAGCAGTATGATGCCTTACATGAACATGTAGACAACCTTGGAAACGATCATAATGTTAGAGTAGGGCGCGTTGTAGTTTTGCCATCTACTTATGTAGGAAGTCCTAGAGCTTTAAAAGATAACTTTGAAGATGCTATGGCTATAATTAAAAAGTATGGTAAACCAGATCTTTTTATTACTTTTACCTGCAACCCAAAATGGCGCGAGATAACTGAAAATTTATATCCAGGTCAAACTGCAAATGATAGACCTGATTTAGTTACACGAGTATTTAAACTCAAATTAAATAATCTCCTAAATGATATTTTTAAGCATGGTGTATTAGGGAAAGTCGTAACCCATGTTCATGTTATCGAATTTCAAAAGCGTGGTTTACCACATGTTCATATTTTACTTCACTTTGCCACTGATGACAAGCTGGAGACAGCACAGGATATCAATAGTTTAATATGTGCTGAAATTCCAGATCCAATTATAAATCGTGAACTTTATGATGTTATTAAAACTTGCATGATTCATGGCCCATGTGGCATACTGAATCCAAATTCTACCTGCATGAAAGATGGGGTGTGCAGCAAAAATTATCCTAAAGAATTTAATGCCAACACAGTAGTAGTTCATAATGGTTATCCTCGCTATAGGCGTCGTGATAATGGTTTGGTTATCAATATTAAAGGCAACAATGTAGATAACCGCTGGGTGGTACCTTACAATCCATGGTTATCAAAGAAATATCAAGCCCACATTAATGTTGAAGCTTGCATGTCTGTTAAGGCTGTTAAATATTTGTACAAATACATATACAAGGGTCACGACTGTGCCAATATTTTGATAAATGAACAAATTAATCATGATGAAGTAAACACTTTTTTAGACTGTCGTTATGTTAGTGCACCTGAAGCATTGTGGCGAATTTTTGAGTATCCCATAAGTCATATGTCACACACTATTATCCGTCTTAAAGTTCATCTTCCTGAGAATCAATTAGTGTATTTTAGAGAAGGAGCAGAACAAATGGCTTTAGATCGTGCAGCTCAACGTGATACACACCTTACAGCATGGTTCAAGTTAAATTCTGAAAATGAAAGAGCACATTGCTATTCATATGTAGACATTCCTTATCATTTTATATTTGATGATAAGCTTTGTAAATGGAAGGTTAGACAAAGAGGTGGTAATAAGGTGATAGTAAGAATGTATAAAGTTAATCCAAGTGGAGAATTATTTTTTCTTAGGCTGTTACTTTTGCATGCAAAAGGAGCCAAGTCTTGAGTGGATGTGCGTACTGTTAATGGTATTGTTGTTGAAACATTTCGTGAAGCATGCGTTTTAAATGGTTTGTTACAAGATGACACTGAATGGCAAAATGCACTTTCTGAGGCAGTTTTAACACGTATGCCAAAGCAAATTAGACAGTTATTTGCAATTATTTTGACTTTTTGTGAACCAGACAATCCTTTGCATCTTTGGAATACATACAAAGCATTTATGATTGAGGACTTTATTCACCGCTCAGTCCCGCTTATAATAGCTGAACAAGCTGCTCTTTGTCAAGTTGAAAAGATTATTAATCAGTGTGGTAAAACGCTGGCAGATTATAATCTTCCTGTTATTGAGTTAGATTTTAATCTAGATAATCTAGAAAATTTCAATCAAAATGTTCAACAATCAATTGATGAAGCCAATAGAATGAGACCACTGCTCTATGTCAATCAATTAAATGTATGTAATGCTATTCTTGCTGCATTGAATGAACAACCAAGTGTAGAAAATCAGCATTCTCGATTGTTTTTCATGGATGGACCGGCTGGTAGTGGAAAAACGTTTACATATAATTATTTGATTGCTGAAACCAGCAGTAGAGGTATCAAATCTGCTACAGCTGCATGGACTGGCATAGCAGCAACTCTTCTTACAAATGGATCTACATTGCATGGCTTATTCAAACTTCCTGTTCCAATATTAGATAACAGCACATGTAATGTTACTCCAAACTCTATACATGGACACTTTTTAAGTCAGGTTAGTTTGTTTTTGCTTGATGAAACATCCATGATACCCAAACATGCATTGAATGCAATTGATAGGTTATTAAAAGATGTTTGCAACAACAACTTTCCATTTGGAGGAAAAGTCATTCTTTTTGGAGGCGACTTTAGACAAATACTGCCTGTTGTGAAAAGAGGACAACCAGCTGAAGTTGTAGAAGCATGTATAAAATGTTCTTTACATTGGCAATGGGTGCAGAAGTTTAAGTTAACAGAAAATATGAGAGTACATGATGGGGAAAGGGAATTTTCAAATTGGCTGTTGAGACTTGGTAGTGGAACAGTATTTGTCAAAGAGGAAGATCCTTTTAAAGGGTGCGTTGAAATACCGCATCAATGCCTTTTAGGGAAAATGACTCCATTGTTGAAAAGATATTTGGGGATGCCGAACAAGACGATTATGCTAAACGTGTCATTTTGACACCAACTAATGTGGATTCACTATCAATCAATGAGGAAGTGCTTCAACGTCTACCGGGTGAGGTCAAAACTTATTTAAGTGCTGATCAAGTTGAGACAGACAATCTTAATGAAAGAAATAACTTTCCTGTTGAGTTTTTAAATAGCTTAACTCCCTCAGGTATGCCTCCTCATTCTTTAAAGTTTAAAATTGGTTGTATAATTATGTTACTTAGAAATTTAGATCTCAAAGCTGGGTTATGCAATGGCACTCGAATGAAAGTTTGTGCTCTTCAAAATAATTATATTGATGCAGAGGTTTTGACAGGTGTTTCTGCTGGTAAACGGGTATTTGTACCTCGAATTCAGTTGGCTCCGTCAGATTCTAATTTACCTTTTGTTCTAAAACGTCGCCAGTTTCCTGTCAGATTGGCATATTCAATGACAATTAATAAAAGTCAAGGTCAAACATTTGATAGAGTTGGTGTATATCTAAAGAAACCGTGTTTCACTCATGGTCAACTTTATGTTGCATGTTCAAGAACTAGAGCATTTAATAGTTTATTTTTTAAATTGATAAACATCCCATTCAAGGTATGATAGGTGAAAAGTGTTATACAAATAATGTTGTATTTTCTAATGTTCTTAATTTATAATTATGAGATTTTTGTTATAATTTCACTTTTTTTCATAGTTTTATTTTATATTGTTTTAGTAATTATATTTGTCTTTATACATGTTTATAATTGTTATAGGTGTTATGTAAGTGTTATATTTATGTTATGTGTTAGTTGTTATTTAAATTGTTCATGTAATACTTGGGCTATATGTGTTATCAAGGTATATGTGTTTAGGGTTTGTGTGTATGTGTTTATAGTTTGTGTATATATGTTTATATTACGTTGTTTCCATGTTTTCAAAGTGGTGTGACTTGGCAAACGTGTCGAGCAAGATAGTTAACCTTGCCAGCCAAGCGGTGTACTTAAAGCAGAGGTGTGACTTGGCAGCGTTTAGTGCCAAGTGGTGTTACTGCTTTGTTGTGGCTAGGTTGTGTTGTCTAGCCTTTTTTAATTATTCTGGAAACACGTAATGTCTATTAATATTAAGCATCATATGTACATACAAATATGTAATGTGTTAAATGTGTTAATATGTTTTATAATGTTATATCGTCATGATCATAGCACAATTGCCTAAGTCATTTTTTGGGGGTTTTTTGGAAGTTAAGAGTTGAAATATATAGCTTAAACAGTCTAATAATGTGGCAAATCGCCTTAAACCAATCAGAAAGGAGTTGATTTTTAGTTTTTTCACTTCTGCTTAAATCCGCTTTTTTACTTATATCTTATTGCTTTTGACCTATATTCTATTGTGTCTCAACGGTAATACACATATCATTTCTAAAGCAATATATGAAAGCATCTAAGTAAAAAGATGCCAAAAATAAGCCAAAGTGACGTAGCAAAAGAAATACCGAAGTTATTCATTTTTTTTTTTTTAGTTTTCTCAAAACAAGAAAAAAATTACTTAGACGATTGTGCTATGATCGTGACGATATGTTTATAGTTTGTTTCTTTGTCTATTTTATGCAGTGGTTTCAAAGTGGTTTGACTTTGCCATTGTAAAGAGCAAGTGTAATGTGTACTTATAAATATCTTATGTGCTTTTGTTGTGCGTTATCGTTGTAATATTTTTGTGATGATTTGTGTTGATAGACAGTTGGCTTACCTTCCCGTTGGTGTCTATCGTTAAAAATGATTAATTGGTAGTTCTATTCATGGAGCTTACTGTTTCTAATCATTCACTAAAAGCCAAGACAAAACATATTGTTATAAACACAATTTGTTTATATTTCAATTTGTTTTTTTTTTTTATCTTTAGTGTTGTGCATAGTTCTATTCTTTAAAACATTTTTAATTTGTTTTTTAATAAATGTTAATTTTTTCGTCTTTAATAAAAGCCAGCATGAAATAATGTCATTGAACAACACCATTAAATATTGCTTCATCAAAACAGCAACTGCAGTTTGCCAAAAACAGGTTAATTGTTTTCCTGTTTTAAAAATGTTTTTCTTTTCTATTATATTTACTTATCTATTACATTTTTCTTTTAGACACCATGTGACGTATTTATGCGATACAGGAGAACACAAATAATAATTATGTTTTGTTATTAAATAATAAAGTTTTGTTAAAAAAAATATTATTAAATAAATTTGTGATTTTGTAATAAACGGAAGGGTCGGATTTTAGAAGCATGAAATATTTGAAAATTTCTGTTTAAAATGCATTTTTCATCTATGATGGAGAGATTTATGTAATTAACTAAAATTTAATTATGCGCACATTAAACGCTTTTAAGTTAAATAGAATTCCTTAATAAAGGAGAGGGGGTTACCAAAAAAATTAATAAGTGTCCCGTTAGACATTAGAAGTTAACATTTATATAAGTATTATAAAATTTTTTAACTGCTCCAAAAAATTTAAAGATGTTAAGGAAAATTTCAACTAAATGATAATAAAAACGCCTTCACTCTAAAAAAAATATATATCTAAAAAAAAAAAGTTTTTGTCATATTTAACAGTAACTCCCTTAAGTTAATTATTATGTCTTTTTCTAACACGGTGCCTTGGAAACACTGTCTTAGTCTCACTTAAATAAGAATTAATAAAGCGAGATAAAACCTGAATAAGTACGGAGCTCTTGCGTACTTCTTAACACTATTGATAATGACCGTCTATAAACATACTTTACGCGTTGTTTGCTGTTTTATAAAATAATTATAACTATAAGCAATGACAGCTAATAGGGAGCCGAACTTTAAATACAAATTTATCTGTAAAATTATTTACAAATAAATTTGTATTTAGATATATATTTTTAGATAACGTAGTAAGTTTTGTTGTTACTAATGGTTTAGTTATTTTTAACCCGTATTACGGGTTGCTTACTGCTAGTAAACATTAATAAGGATTTAAAATTTTCTTTTAAAATCCAATTATTTGTTTAAAAAGATTTGTCTTAAAGAAAACATGGGTTGATGACTCAATACTTAATTAATAATCAAAACTAATACTATAAAACTTTTCAACCACATGTTTTAACATCTTCTTAATCATAAACAATTCCGCTTATATTACAACAATTTTTATTACTACTCCTGATAATATTCTAACAAATTCATTTCAAAACATGTTAAAAAACCTTAAAAGCTGGAATAATTAAAACTGATATATTGGCCTATTTTCCAGTTTTCTTTTCCGTTATTGAAGACCCAAACAAAGTTAACAATTCTGAAATTGAAACTTTTAAATGAAAAACTAATAAACATTCTATGCTTAAATTTAAGGAATCTCTATCAACATTAAATTGGATAAATACATACTAGAAATAGAATCTTGAAGAAACTCTACTTATCTATCTATTTATTAACATCTTTATTGAGCATTATAACAAAAGTTTCACAATACTAAATATAGTAATAAAAACTAAATATTAAAAATGACTGTGGACTTTGGTCCAATATGGTGAGCTATCTGGGATACTGTTTATAAGATTTAAAAAAAATTTATTTAAAGAAGTAAAAAGTAGTTTCAGAAGTTTTTTTTTCAAACTACTAAAAAAATAATTGGAGGTTAAAAAAAACGTGAAAACAACGAGGTAAAATTAAAATAAATTCATACAGACTAAAGTAAAGAAAAAATGAAATTGAGTACAAAGAAAATATATATATATATATATATATATATATATATATATATATATATATATATATATATATATATATATATATATATATATATATATATATATCAGAAATATTTAATCATTTCTAAGCTAACACTGGTCTGAACCTGGAATCAAAAATAAAACCTCGAAAAATCCATTTCAAAATTATCTTAGTGTCTCTTACGGTTCGTTTCCTGATAGTGATCTAAACTAAAAAAAATTAGAAATATTAGTTAAATCAATTTTGAAAAAAATAAGTCTCAAGGTGTTGTCGACATTTCTTGCAATGTTGTACCTAATTTTTTTTTGTCATAAAAAAGTCTATTTTAAATATCTTTAACTTGTTAATTAAAATATGGATTGCCCATGACAAATTAAAAAAAAAATCGTATATATAGTTAAATGTATCTATTTTAAGTAGTTATAGACAGAATTATTCTATATTTCTGGACTACTTGAAATTATAGTGTACAGCTGTATAACTCTATATTTACAACTATATATTTACAAACTATATAAATATTTAAAAGAACACAAAGTGTTTTTTTAAATATTTATAATTAAATTTAAGTATTAAGTGAAAACCAACACGGTTTTTAAAATTATATTTAATTGAACAGACCTTGTTAATAACATTAGCAAAAATTTTGAAAGTGAAAACTTTGTATTAGGAGTTTTTATTGATGTGACAAAGGCGTACGGCATAGTAGACCATACAAAAGCGTACGACACAGTAAACCATAAAAACTAATAAAAAGCACAATTAAAATTATTTAAAGTACTCATATATGTAAATTTCTTAGTGTGCGAATTAATTTTGAAACTTCAAGTAAAAAATGCAATATAAAAATATCTAAAAACGCAGGTTTACTTTTTTAAGCAAGACCCCTCTTATCATACAAAACTCCTATATTTTTCCTTTAATCACAGTGAAGTTTTTTAATGAAGTTTTTTTTATTTGTATTTTAGTATATTTGTTGTATAAGTACTATATATTGTTAAAAGTTTTAAATACTATACCAAGGGTTGTCCATACGCTATGGGGAGGGGGAGAAGGGTAAGTGGGTTTATGACAACTCATACGAGACTTGTTACTAAAGTGTTACGATATTGTGACGAGGGGGAGGGAGGGGGTCAAAAAAATCAAAAAATGCGTGATGTAATTTATGGACGACCCCCTCGCTGTATATATATCTATAGCCAAAAATATTTCTAGTTAAAAATCACTTTTTAGAGTTTTATACACATTTAAAAAAAAAAAATTATATAAACTTATTCAGAAAAAGATTCTCTAATAAATGTTCAAAAATCAGTTGCAAAAAGTTGATTTAATAATTATTAAATTAACTTTAAAATTTAAGATTATAAATATTATCTTAACTCTTTCATTATAACTCCTACCCTGATTTACGTTTATAGGTTTTTAATTTTTTTTTTTTATTAACACTTTTTTTTACTCCTATTAAAATATATTCAGGTAAAGAAAATAAAAATAATTGTAATACATAAATCAAATAAAAGAACAAATAAAATCAAATAAAAGAAATATAAGATATTTGTGGTTGTTGAGAACTGTTAACAATATTTACGTGAATTGCAATATAAATAATAAATAAACGGAGTGTCTATTTGCACGTTTTTTACCTGCTTATAAATTATATTTAATTATATTTTCTATTTGATCGTTATTTGCACTATAAACCTTCCAATTTGATGATAATATAAAAAATTGAGTTTTTATATTTGTTTTTTAAATTTAAAAGAAATCTAGCGCAGTAGAGTGTACATTCGTCGGATTTTTGGTAATATTGGAAATTTTTTAAAGAATCTTCGTTTTGTTTTGTTTTTCCAATTTTGATCAGTTCCAAAAGTTATTACGGAAATATTGAATCGGGGAATTTTGCCACCTATTTATATTAAATAAAAATGCGCTTTGATTGGATAAAATGGTCAAAAGTCATTCAATAGTGCAACAACTGATTAGCAAAATCTTTGGTTGCAATGTGAGAAAATTTCTTGTCAAAAATAGTTTTGTGAAAAATGTCGACCCAAAAAAATTACAATAAAATTTTATTGCTCAGTAAAATGTAGAAAACAATGAGTTTTTAATTTTTATCTCTATATCTCTCGTGTATTATAATTTGTAAATTGATTTTTTTTTTGAAGCTTGCCTGATTATTTTAAAACTCTTTTTTTGTCAACTAAATCCCCCTCCCCCCAAGACCGTCTTCACCGCTTTCAAAATATCCTACATTCAAAATATCCTAAAAAAGAAAGAAGAAAAAAAAAATAGGTAAAAAAACCTGCCCCGATACCTCTCGGTATCGGGGCAGGTATGTTTTTAGAATTTATAATTTAAAATAAAAAATTTATGTTGTAAATAACATAGGTAACGAAATTCACCCAAAATCGATTTTATTGGGGTAATTTCGCCATCCCATTTTTTCTGTTCTAATTATTTAAAAAAAAAATTAAAATATGTCAAGTTTATAAAAATATTATTAACAATAAAAAATAAATTCAATTTTCATTTTTAGTTTTCAAGTTATTTTAAATTGAAAGAATTAGTGGCGAAGTTACTCCTTACTCAATTATATCTATCTTACTCTATTTGAAAGAACTATTAATATATATATATTAATAGTTCTATTATATATAATTAACTATTAATATATATATATATATATATATATATATATATATATATATATATATATATATATATATATATATACATATATATATATATATATATATATATATATATATATATATATATATATATATATATATATATATTTTTTTTTTTTTTTTTTTTTTTTTTTTTTTTACATTTTAAGTTTACATTTGTCGTAATACAATACTTTAACAAATACAAACAAGGTTTCTGAAAGAAGATCGTACTGATCTTATCATCAGAACCTTTTACAAGCATTAAGCATAATTATTTACAATGTATATAATCTATTTATAAAATAAACAGTAAAAGTAAATAGTAAAACAAAAAGATAAAAAGTAAAACAAAAAGAGTCGTTACATATAAAAAGTAAAACAAAAAGAAAAGTAAAACAAAAAGAGTCGTTACATATAACGTATTTTACAATTAACATAAAACGTATTTTACAATTAAAAAGTTCTAAATAAAGGTACATAATTACAATTAG